GTCCATGAGGTTTTTTTGCGTTAACTCGTGTGGCACCCATACATCGAGCTTCTTTTTGTATCCAGCCTTATTCAAGTGGTTCCAAGCGGTTTTTTGTGCAATGTTTAGCTCCTGGGCAATTGAAACAGTGCTTACATGACGATTTCCATTATTTTATCGACATTTTCGACAATTGGCCTTCCAGAGCGTGGTGCATCTTTGACATCAAAATTACCGGAACGGAATCGACGAAACCAAAATTGCGCGTGATTGGCTATTACAGTATCAGGACCATAAACACTATTCACATTTTCAGCCACCTGGCTTGCGTTTTCACCTTTATCGAAGAAAAACTGTAAAATATGGCGTATTTTCTCTTTGCTGGTGTCCATCTTTGACGCGCGCTCAAACAATACTGAGTCAAACAATCACAAAATTGTCTGAGAAGTTTTTTTAGTACGAAATCTTATCTTTCTAACGCTATCTAGCGTAAACCGATCGCACTTATACAACGCGAGATATGTGGCGCCCCAGCTAACGCTGGATGCACACGCACATGCATACACACCTGTGCAGCAGCTGCCGCACGCTGATAGGCGAAAGCAGAAACTACTGCCGCGCCAAGATTTTGCGATCGCACCGTAAGTGCTATAGACGGTTCTCTCTACCAGTCAGTCGTAGCAGGTCGTAAGAAGGTAAAAGCCGTTTTCTCTCACACTTGAGATTTGTATACACGTTTTCCTTTGTCTGGACTAGCCGTCCTACGTGTCGCGGTGTCCTTCGTGAGGTGCGTGCCGGTTCGTTATTGCGACACATGTGTGTCCTCTCTCGTGCCGGAATTGAGCGAGATAAATCGTGCAAGTAATCACGAAGACGCAGTGGCGTAAGCCTTTGTAAAGCGTTGTGCCAAAGAGAAACTCGTGAAATGTAACCGCGCGGAAATATTGCTGTGTTGTACCATTAAGCACGCCAGTGTAGTAGTGCGCCACGTGCAATTGCTTGTGACGTCGGTCACACGCGCGCATTAGCAAGTAAGGTATTTTTTGTGTCTCGCTACGCGTATTTCCATGCTCGCTCAAAAAGGTATGATTGTGCCGTGCATACGCGGGCAGTAACACGGGTTGTCTACGTGCCGCGGACAGACCCACGTGCGCACACGGTACGTCGGCGCGGTGTCGATCACGTGCTCCTGCGTGATCACCTGTGTGCACAGTCTTAACATTGTGCCTAATCTATACACGTGTCGGTACGCAGGTACGCATGTATTCGACCTTGCTTGTGTAGAGAAATCCTTTCTTTCCTTTGATTTGTTTTGTACTGCGACCTCCACACAAGCCGTGATAACGTTCCTTTCTTTTTTCTATATACCAACATACCGTGTATTAGAATTAAGTACCAGCGTTAGAGTTAAGCTTGAGATATTGTAAAGAATACTGTTCCTTTGTTCCTTGCTGCGTAGGTTAAGTGCGTGCGAGCCAATTTTCTCTTGTTCATTTATTTCATGTTGCGTGGTGATCGGATCCCACCAAAGAAACATGTGTGTTCACGTTTAAATATACATTTCTTTTGTTAATTGGTGCATTGAGCATTAGTTCTTGTATGTGACATGTGTGCCTGTCCAGAGTTGCACTCAGAGCATTTACACGCTTAGAGTTGTGTGGTACAACATACACAGGGTGCTA